TACTGAGATCAGCTCCTTAGTAAAACCACAGTTAGAAGTTTGATAGTTTGATGCATCAGTTTCCATTTCAGTTGGTTCACGACGGGCTTGGTTATCGTTTGTCAGGTTTTTGTGTACAAGCTTTTGTTCTGGCACCTGCTGCCGGTGTTGCTGATATTCTTGCCACAGTTACCCTTCCCCTTTGCCTGTTCTCAGTTGTGAATATTCATATTTGCCCCTTCTATTTTTCCCCCTGTGCAATTTCTCAATACCCAGCCAATGGATTAGACACCTATATATTGGTGGTGGTGTTGGCAAAACAATTGCACTGCTCCTTAGCTAGTGCCAAATAGTATACCCCACATGCAGTGTATGTAGACCAGGAAACTGAAGGGTGCATCCTGTGCGTTCAGTCTTCTGTCTGACCCTTTCAAGCTTTGCCTTCCCTGTTAACTTCAGCACCAGATATTGAATGGTTCTGTTGGCATTCAATGCAGGACCGGACTACACACTCCTTGTTAGATGACAAGAATCTGGCTCATGTGGAAGACTGGAAACAGAAAATTAGTGTCCTGTAAAACTCTTGTTACTGAATCTCTTTTGTCCAATCAGAAGCTTTAGTAACTTCTAACCTTTCTCAGATATTCAGTCTGAGCAGATGTTCAGTCTCGAGTCTTGTTCTCTTTGGTTTGTCCCAGATTCTCATACCGATCTGACAGAATAGCTTTTGGGAAAGTTGACCCTGTTGTCAAGTCTGAAATGTGTTTCAGTATTTACCAGGTTTGTGTTACAATATTTTGTGTGCACCCTGTGCTGCCTACGATATGGAATGTTGCAGGTGGATAATGTAGGCAATTTGGTTTCCTTATAACATGTAAATTATCTAAAACTAGTCTAGGGTTTTATTTGGGAGTGACAGCAAGTTTTTTGCATTAGTTGTGCAACTATTTCTTACCAGTCCAGCTCCCTGCCATTCCCTCCATACTTTCCCCCCAGAAACTGGACCTGGTATGTACCATTCTGACTTGTTGGCTGCTGGAAAGAATGCTTAATTAAATATGATTGGCAATGTCTGGGGAATAGGAGCCTTAGTATATATATATAAAAAAGGGGGAGGGGGTATTGACATGTCCTCATTTCTAGATGCATATAAAATGTAAAATCTACATTGTGAATTCTTTCTGTCCGTGCTGAAGACTTTGATGAGGATATGCCTTTGGGAATTTCCACCTGTGTTCTCTTCGGGAGTCCATTAATGCTATTTTCCTCCAAAACTTCATTCAGTTTGAATCTATCCAGGGATTGCTCCCCCCCCCATACCTTTCTTACTTTTGAAGCTTGATTTGATCCTTGTTAAAGCACCAAAAAGATTTTAAACCTTATGTAAGCTAGTTAGAGCGCCACAAAAATGCACATTTTTTTATATAAGGCTTTCTAATCAAGTTTCACTACTGCGTCTTTTTAGCTTGCTGTTTACTCCCTTTTGTAGTTTTACCAACAAGATTTTAAGATGAACCAGCTACGTCTGAGTTAAATATTAATCACAGTTAAAGCTTTACCTTTGTGTGCAATTTAAACATGTTTGAATCCACAGTTGGTATAGTTTGCCTTAGCTAACATTCAGGGCTTTAGAGGTAATCTTTTTTGCTAGGACACCTTAGCAAATAAAAATAAAAAATCTACTGCCCTAGAGTGCTATAGTCAACCAGAGGACCATTTTTGTATCGTTACCTGACTATAAGTCTGACTTACTGTATGTGCTAATATATTCCTTTTGTTATAGATTGTCCTAATGGCAGGTAAAGCAATAAAATGATTTAAATTCTTAAATGTAATCAGCGTTTTTATTATACTGGTCAGCAGTTTCTAAGCTGGTGCGGACTAGGCAGGGGCGGGCTGCATAATAGCTCTAGGCCTTTCTTTGGCAGAAAGTGAGTTTCATAGACTGTTTCCCACATGAGATGCCTTCCTTTCATGTGAATGACTTGTGGGTTAAATAGATGTGATATGGGATGCAATCTTCTTAATGGGTGGCTGCAGGTGTGAGCTATTTTCTGAAGTGCCAGACTTGTGGGTGTTTATGTAGAATTGTTTGCTGTGACTCTGTGAGCAGCATCAACTCTTAGGTCGTGTTTTCTACTTTTCTACTCAACTAGCCGGTGTTGGCAGGTATCTCCATGTGTACATGACAAAAGAGAAATGCAGCAATTTACTCTGAATAGTTCTGCTGCAGTTTATTCCAGAATTTCCCTGTACTCGACATCTTTCCAACTTGTTCAGCTAACAGTGGACTTTAGTCCCAGGTGAGAATGGTCTGGGAGTGCCTGATGTCACAGTGTTACTGAGGCTCAGCCCACGCTTATCTGGCTCGTGAGTTAAATAGGAGCCCAATGTAAGGGCAGGTTATTAGATAAATAATAATAGTGTCGCCTCCTGTTGTAAGTGGCAGCCATGTCAACATAGAATCCATGTTAGTGGAATTTCTAACTGTACGTTTGTGTTGCAGTTTCTCTTATTGTATGAAAAATATACACACATCTCGCTGATCAGCTGGTAAGCAACCATAAAAACTGGGCTTTGGGGCCAAAACTGAAAAGTAGAATGGCTGACCAAATGCCAGCCTAGTTAAGATATAGAGACTACATCAGGTACATTAATTAAACTAGTCTTTTCTACTGTCTCAGCCACAAAGTGACTGCATTAGTGCCCTTCTTCCTTGGATCCTCAGGAATGGGAAAATCTTTGCCTTAAACTGTTAATACATGGAAGCGATCAGAAGAGGGAGCTCTACAACAAGATTTTCAAAGTAAGTAACAAAATATAACCCATTTAATACCACTTCATAGTCAGTGAAAGAGAAAAGGTATTCCAATTCTAAAGGTCAAATGGAAATGGAAAATAAGATCACATGTTTAATGGAAAACACCGACCAGGCAAAATTCAAATGAAAGATTAACAGTTGTGTTGGGCTGTTTTCCAGGGTGGCTGATAAAAGCTCTTCCTGCGACTTGGCCAAAGCAGCTGATAGGGCTGAATTGTGCCCTTTCGCCCAGGTATAAATACTTAAGACAGGCACCATTACAGACTGCAAGTGTTGCCCTGTAACTTTGGCAGTTACATAATGCACAGATAAGGTTTACTTCAATGTATTAGCATCCATGGTGTTTGGAAATCAGTTAGCAGCTGAACTTTGGAAATCCTAAATGTCGAAGCTATTGGGTTGTATCCAGTGAAGCTGTCCTTATAGTGCAAGGGTTTTCACCTCTGCAATGGGTCGTCCTCTCCCTACATGTGCCTTCACTCTCACTCTGCCCTGAAATCTCTGGAGGTGGAGTGGGCAAGGGAATTTTTTTTTTTTAAACCCCTCAATAGCCCAATAAGTACAGAGCATGATGAGTGGATTGAGCGAGGCAACAGAGCAAGGGTGGGAAAACTGACCAGCCAGGTATTTGCTGGACTACAACTCCCATTATCCATGACCATGCTGACTGAGGCTGATGGGAATTGGAGCCCATCAACATGTGGAACACCACACATTCCCCCAGCGGCTAGTAAGAATTCCGCTTGCAGGTCTCACTTGTGCCATTTGTATTTCAAAATGCTGTAGGTTGAGTTCACTGCATCTTGACTATATACTTGTTTTGGAAGCCACTATTGTTTTATAGCTGCTTAGAAGGATCCCACTTTAACATATAGGTACTTTCCCTGCTCTGATGCAGTTGGGGTGTGTGAAGGAGAAGAAGTTAGCTTGGCTAGGGGTTGCTGTTGAGATACTTTTCAATATATCTGCTCAGATCTTAGACTGTACCTGCCCAGCTGGAGGCTGAAAGGTGCTCATCTAGCGGCTCCTTCATGTGGCTGCTGTAATGTGCATTTTGCATGTCAGTACTCCCACTGTCCTGCATGCTGTGATCTTGAGGATTATCTGAAGCCCTGTGGCCGGATTCGACTAAGCTGTTGCTCTAGCACAGGGGTAAGCAACCTTTTTCAGCCGTGGGCCGGTCCACCGTCCCTCAGACCATGTGGGCCGGACTATATTTTGAAAAAAATATATGAATGAATTCCTATGCCCCACAAATAACCCAGAGATACATTTTAAATAAAAAGACACATTCTACTCATGTAAAAACACGCTGATTCCCGGACCGTCCGTGGGCCGGACTGAGAAGGCAATTGAGCCACATTCGGCCCCTGGGCCTTGGGTTGTCTACCCTTGCTCTAGCAGAAGGCAATGCTACGAAGTCCCACTAGCACAACAGGACTCCCTCCCCTCCATTCTTTCCCCTGTGCCATCCCCAAATTTGTTTGGGAGGACGCCTAGAGCAGTGTGTGAGGGGAGGTTGTTCTTTATGGCAAAGAGAAATGCTTACGCTGATAGAACAATCACCTTAGCACAGGCATGGCCAAACTTGGCCCTCCAGCGGTTTTGGGACTACAACTCCCATCATCCCTAGCTAACAGGACCAGTGGTCAGGGATGATGGGAATTGTAGTCCCAAAACATCTGGAAGGCCAAGTTTGGCCGTGCCTGCCTTAGCATAACATTGAATTCCACCCCCGCATCACAATTTATGAATTCCTTTGTAGATGGAAAAGAGAACTTTCTATTCAGCTGTCTAGATGCATGTTGGGTTGTAGTTTTTTTTTAAAAAAATAAAATAGTATTTTTGTGGGTAAGGGGCATGCCTTCCAATATTATTCCCTGTAAGTTGCCACATTTATAATCAGGAGAAGTATCAGTTCCACAACTCCACCATGTCGGCATTTTCCCCTTCGCCTTCTGTCCAGGATCGCTGGTCTTTCTGTTGTGGTTATCCACTTGTTGAATGTCCCTGAGTGCTACCTTGGTGTCATAGCCTTAAACTGTGATGTGGGTATACACAGATACGTTTTTAGACATGCTTCCCTTTCATCGCCCCCCTTTTATTTTGGACCCCAGTCCCCCCCCCCAAAAAAAATTACAACCTGAAGTAACAAGGGCATGGGCAGATCTCGTGAAACCACATCATCACCCAAAATATGTCTGCTTCGCAGCTACAGAGTGCCCCATTTATTCAGGTCTCCTGGAGAAGATGCACAAAGGTCACTGGTGGTGATAATGGGATAAGATTTCTGGTTATGCATATGCAAAAGAGACTCAGACCCGTGGTGCAGTCTTTAATCACCTGCCCAGCAGCGTGTTTAGATTTCGGTGTGACAGAGACCATCCCTCTTGTCAATCACAGTTGTCCAGGGGTAGAGGCGAACAGTCACCAATTAAAAAGTTCAGGTTCTGGTTTATCCCCTAGGTCTCTAGCTTGGCTGTGTCATTCTGTCAAAGGCATCTGTCTCCAGGGGCTTAGCATCAATCACAACATTGTCCTCTCCATTAGCCTCTATGCATTCCTCCACCGCCTTCAGGATGATCTGTAGCCTCCTGTCTAGTGCCAAAAGGTGGGGTTCTGTAAGCACAGGGGCTAGGCGATCCTCAAGCAAGGATTCCCGCATGATGTCGCTGAGTTTGTAAGCTGGTTGCGCCAAGAGCTGTAGCCGTAATAACGTAGTCTTCTTTATTCTGAAGGAGGATGGGTGAAAACAAGGTTCATTATGCTCATTATGCAAAAGCAAAATTCTACCTCCCCGTCTCAGATACTCCTGAAAGTTGGATGGACTTAAATATGCATTGCTGCGACCTGTGCACAGTTATAAATAATAGCAACGCGGTGGCTTAAGCTTTCTGGAAAGTCTTTCCTCCCATCTCCAGATGTTTGGAAGCTGGTTTTGGATACTCGGCAGTGAAGTTGCAAGGGTAAAATGTGCTTTGGGGATATAGGGAAGGGCTGTGGCCCTGTTGCAAACAGTATTATTACTGTTCATTTCATACACCACTTAATGCCAAAATAGGCTTCCATAGTATGAATGCCAAGTTACACATGCAGAAGTGCTTGGACTGGAGAAAGTTTCCAATTCGCTTCCCGACACCCTCCACTTAAAACAATGTCAAGTATTAGGGCTGCAAAAGATAACCCAGCTGTCCATCACGTGGCTGCCACAATCTCTTGTACTTGGGAACTACAGCACAAGGGGCATTGCCAGCTCAGTGCTCAGCGCTTTGGGAAGTGCCGAGCATAGAACCGGCAAAGCGCTACTTTCTCCTGCCCGTCAGCTGATGGAAATGGGTGGGGGCATATAAGCCAACTTCTTGCAAGTATGCACAGCAAAAAGAAGTTCCCCGTTCAGCCGGTGCCTGCAAAAACAAACCCAGGCATCTTCCTATCCTTTTTAAGCTGCAGTTTCAAAGGGAACACTTCCCCTCTTGAAGCAAGGCCATGAGCTGGTGAGGGAGCTCATATTATGTACCCTGCCCCATTCCTGACATAACGTGGTTTGGGGGAAACAGTCACACAAGCCAAATGGGACTGCAGATGAGATGTTTTCCAACCTTGTTTTTAGTAGATTCTGCATGTACATTTGCCAAACCTTACAGCCAGAAATCTAGAAACTAGACTTTGGATATAGATAGCTGTTGTTTGGGATTCAACTAAGCTGCAATGTGTGCAGAATGAGGTCCATTTGTGCAATGGGGCTCTCCCCCACCCCCTTTCCTGTGTACCCCTGCATCCCTAAATCTGCGCTGGAGGCTTTGAGAAAACTACATAAAAGGTTTTGGGGGCATGTCAGGGAGAATAATAAATAATAATAAATTTTTATTTATACTCCACCCTTCCCGATTCAAAAACCGGGCTCAGGGCGGCTAACAAATTTAAAACACTTAATTATAAAAGCAGCATAAAATACCGTATAAAAACATGAATAACAATAAAATTCAAAAATCAAAAATCAATCAGATAATCCCCAGAGCTAGCCGGCTGAATTGGTCCTACTTGGGCCAGCAAGGAGGCCAGGGGAGAATTTGCTGTGGGGTCTCAGAGCGGGTGATCTTCATAAAAAGGGGAGAGGAAGGGAAGAGAAGGGAAATAAAAGATCAGGCTGAATTCAAATCAAAGGCCAGGCGGAATAGCTCTGTCTTACAGGCCCAATGGAAGGAGGTTAAATCCTGAAGGGCCCTAGCCTCATGCGACAGAGCATTCCAGCAGGTCGGAGCCATCACTGAAAAAGCCCTGGCCCTGGTGGAGGAAAGTCTGACTTCCTTAGGGCCTGGGACCTCTTGTTGTCTTGTTGTACAAGTGGACTTGGTTCCCTACATGCATTAATCCATTTACAGCACTGCATTGGGTTCCACCCTTTGAGTGAGCCCAGTGGAGCCATAAACTACTTTTTTTTTTGCCATACCACCTTATTCAAAGAATCAAACTTAGGCGCAAGCACTTCTTTTAGTTTATAGCAGAAGCTGGTTGTCCATAGTGCTAGTTGGTTGGTCTGTATGGGAATCACAAGCCGCTCTTCTTCAATCTGAATTGACGTGAGTTTTTTCAAAAAAGTTTTTTTTAAGAAAAGAGGAACTAAAACAAATGTTTAAGGTAAAGGGACCCCTGCCCATTAGGTCCAGTCGTGGCCGACTCGGGTTGTGGCGCTCATCTCGCTTTATTGGCCGAGAGAGCTGGCGGACCAGAGCAGCACACGGAAACGCCGTTTACCTTCCCGCCAGAGTGGTACCTATTTATCTACTTGCACTTTGACGTGCTTTCAAACTGCTAGGTTGGCAGGAGCAGGGACTGAGCAACGGGAGCTCACCCCATCGCGGGGATTCGAACCACCAACCTTCTAATCGGCAAGCCCTAGGCTCTGTGGTTTAACCCTCAGCACCACCCGTGTCCCTAACAAATGTTTAAAAATAGCTAAATGAGACAAGTGGTCTTTAAACCACCAACCACCATCACCTGCCCACTGGTTGAGGAAAGAAGGGTTTCTGTTCTGAACTGATAGCTAGAGGAAGGTGAGTAGTTCTAACCCTGCAATAGCCATAGCTGCAACCAACCTTTGCAGGTCAATGCATCTGTGCACACCTGGGGGTGGGAGTGTTCTTTGGTAATGCAAAAACTGAGGTAGGCAAAAACCCTTCCATATCAGTGAAATTTGCATTGCTGCTTCTCTATTCTGTTCAAACAGGGATAAAATAAATGGCTGGATGCTATACCAGTGCTGGATGTTGCTGCAGGCTGCCTGCATTTAAAAGTCAGAAGTTTGTGGCTGAGAGGATGAGATTAGTTCAGGAAAGGTGTGTGAGCAGGAGCCAATTTAAATCACACAGACTTGGAGTTCAGTGCAAGGATTTATTGGCAACCCTATAATTATAAACCAGGAGGCTTGTAAGGTGTGAATAATGGCTTTTGAAAGTCAACCTGGAGGCTCAATATAACTGTACGGCCAGGGATGATGCCACTGACATCCGGGGGCACAGAAATACACAGGGGGGAGTATGGTGAAAATAGTTAAGATGTGGTGGGGCAGAGGAACACGGGAGGATGAATAACCCCTGACACAGTTTTTTAAAGGCCTAGCTTTTGATTTATATGAATTCATAAAGCAGTAGCCTGAAGAGGATTCAGGCAGTAAAATTTATGAGCAGCCCCCTAATGGCTGGAGGGGGACACAAATGTAATTGATGACGTTCGGGTTCTTTCAGTCCCTTTAGAAGACAATAAAATCTGAGTGTTCTTGGCAGGGATCAAAAGAAATGTCTCAATTTCCTTCAGCTATGACAAATGGCATGTTTGATGGGGAAATGGGTGGGCACCCTGTTACACATCCAAATGCTGAAGTCTGCATGCAACTGGGACTTCATTCTGAGTGATGGACAGACTCGGCCTAGTCTGCTTTAGAAATAATTCAGGGGAAGTGAATTACGTTGTCAAATGTGGGCCGGGGGGGGGGGATAACCTGAACTCCAAACCAGGAGGAGATGGGGTGATCTCCCAGCCCCACAGTAGCTCTTGGGAGACTTTTCAGCTAGTCCTCCCCATTTTCTCAAGTTTTTATGGCACAGGGCAATGTGGAGATGCTGGAAAATGCTATGGCAGTGCTTTAGGTCCTAGCTGTTGTTTGTGAAAGTGCCCAGGGACACTGGGAGCCATGGGAAAGCACCATTCCCATGACTTCCATCATTCCCTTTTCCGGTTCCCAAGAGTACTATCCACCATTCTTTCCTAACTGGCCATTTGAGGGAGCTTTTGCAGACAGACACAGAAATGGACCTGTGAGAAGGGGTGCAGTGATGTCTCTCACTCCATTGCCATCAGGTGAAAGAAGTGTTCGCCTGCTTGTTACGGCCCAGGGAGCTGCATTTGAGCCTTTCAGTTTAATCCAAAATAACTTGGGAATGACACTTACATGCAACACTGTTCGAGTGGAGCCAGGATGGAGATCTCATCATGGGAATGCTTCCCAAAACTATGGAAACAAACAAAATGTAAAAGGTGTGCCCAAACTACCCAAGACTTCAGAGACTGGAATGCTTCAAGTACAGTGATTAGTGACACGAGGCAGAAAATATCCCAGTGCTCTTATTTTTCCATGGAGAAAAATCCACAAGTTGTAACACGGAATGGAATCCAATTGCAAATGCTGCAGAATTAGGCAAACTTAGCAGTTGCCATGCGTTTAATGTTGTCTACTAAATACAAGAAAAATAAACATGCTAAATTAAATCACACACCAAGGCATCTGAAAAATTTCCAGTTTAACCTGAGCTTTTTGATGCAAATCAGGTTGATGGGATATAGCAATGGGATGGGGAGGGGGGTTAACGGTGCCAATTTGGGGGGTTTTTTGTACCTGCTTTCAAAAGAAATTCAATAATAATAATGATGATGTTGATGATGATGCTTTGTTTATATGCCACCCATCTAACTGGGTTGCCCCAGCTCCCAACAAAAAACCCCATAAAAACACCACACCACAGACACTAAAAACTTCCCTGAGCAAGGCTGCCTTCAGATGTCATATGAAATGGGAAATCATACTATAAATCTTAAATTGAACGCACAGGAGGCCAAAGGTTACTTATATATGGATATATTTACCTGAATCTTCTTCATTTATGGGGAAATCCGTAACTGAGGATTTACCACACGACTTGTGACATTACCTGTTACATTTGGCCGCAAGCCAATGCAAATATTTTCATTTCAAATGCTTTAGGAATATAAACAGCACAGTATTTATTTTCAAATTAGTTTATTTGCCTCCGGGGCTAAATAAATAAATGTTTGTAGCAGCTGGTCAGTTTTGTGGTTTCTGAACCTCTCAGATTTTCATGTAGTGGGTTAGATGCACTGTGAGAACATTTGCTGTAGAGTATTAATGGCTACTCTGCAGAAGATTTCTGCAACCCAGTGCCCTCCTTTGTTGTTGTTGTATGAACAACTCTCATGCTCCCCAGCCAGCATAGCTACTTATGGGGGATGATGGGAGTTGTAGTCCCATCTTCATCTGGAGGGCACCAGATTGGGGGAAGCTGGTGGTCCACAGATAGATGTGCCCCTTTTGCTGTTTATTTATTGCTATTTGTATATTTTAACTATCCCAAAATACAGACGTGCCTTCACACCGGCCAGATTGTATGTGATGCCCTCTGCCGTACTTGAGGGCAGATACCAAAAGATTCCAACTGAGAAACGACTCTGCCCATGTGGAGATGGCAATCTGGAAACAGTGGCTCATGTTCTCCTGTCCTGTCCCCTTCATAAAGATCTGAGGAATGAGATCATCACCCCACTCTTACTTACCATCCCAGGCTGCCCATTTGTGGCCACATTGTTCTTTCTTTTATCAGATCAAAATGGTTAGACAACAGCAAAGGTTGCTAGGTTTATCAAGGGTGCAATGAGATTAAGGGCCAATATCTGAACAATAATCTTGGACATCTGACTGTCCTTTTTACCCATTGTTGTCTTTTTAATTGTATATAATGCTTGTTTTATGTTGCTATGGCCATTGGCTAGTGCGAATACAGTGGTGCCTCGCAAGACGAAATTAATTCATTCCGCGAGTTTTGTCGTCTTGCGATTTTTTTCGTCTTGCGAAGCACGGTGTCGGGAAAGTTTTGGAAAAGCTTCCAAAATCACCAAAGTCTTCAAAAACCTCAAAAAAGGCTACCACACCGCGTGCTATGAGTTGCTCCTCGAAGTCAAGTCGCAACTGTATTAACGGTGTTAAGAAAAAGGAAACAAACTTGCAAGACTTTTCCGTCTTGCGAAGCAAGCCCATAGGGAAAATCGTCTTGCGAAGCAGCTCAAAAAACCAAAAACCCTTTCGTCTTGCGAGTTTTTTGTCTTGCAAGGCATTCGTCTTGCGAAGTACCACTGTAAAGTTTATCTATTTTGCTGTTTGTATGTTTTGTCAAGGTTACATAATGACAATGACACAAAAGTGTGCCCAGGTTCTCCTCATGTGCCATTGTGCTGTGTACCTTCATGAATGAGGTAGAATTCCTGCTGGGGATTCAGTAAGAACCTGCCATGATTGTTCAACAGAATTCACCGAGCATCTGCAGAATCTTCCAATACAAGTCTCTTGCTCACCCTCCTCCTACAATTCCTAGAATCCTGGGTTGATGGCTATGACTGTTGCATCAATGTTTAAGCCAACACAGGCCTTAGTTCAAGACTCTGCCTGGGCACATGTTTTCCAAGAGGGGTTCCACAGAATTTATATCCCAAGACTCGCAGAGTAACTTCTTGAGTCTTGTTCCTGAGACCCAGGACGGACTATTCCTCCCCACAGCACCAGCTCTTGCCCCTTTAGGTCCCAGAGGCAATTTGTGGGCTTCCTTACCCTCTTGCATTGTCCAAATGGAGCAAAAAGCCATCATCTCCAAACTTTGTGAACATCTCGTAATGATGACGGTCCATGTTGCCTTTCAAAACAGAGAAGGAAAAACATTTGGTAGTTCCAGAGTACTAACCCAATCCAACTGCTTGAGATCTCTCATGCAAGGCACATTATCTGAGGTATAATATCAATGTATTAATAGCAGCTTTGAAACTAAACAGGAAACAGTGAGCAAGGCACAAAAATGGCTTTTATCTGGATCAAATGGCTGCTTATAAGATAGGCTTGTGACATCTACTTGTTCCAAAGTTCTGCAAGGATGCATGATGGGATACGGCAGGAAAATAACCCCACAGAGTTACTTTTGAAGGAGTGGGGTGCCCTGTTAGGAGCAGACAGACATAAATACAGTGGTGCCTCGCAAGACGAAATTAATCCGTTCCGCGAGTCTCTTCGTCTTGCGGTTTTTTCGTCTTGCGAAGCACGGCTATTAGCGGCTTAGCGGCTATTAACGGCTTAGCGGCTATTAACGGCTTAGCGGCTTTAAGAAAAAGGAAACAAACTCGCAAGAACTCGCAAGCCCATAGGGAAATTCGTCTTGCGGAACGACTCAAAAAACGGAAAACTCTTTCGTCTAGCGAGTTTTTCGTCTTGCGAGGCATTCGTCTTGCGGGGCACCACTGTAACATGGTTTGGAAATGCCTACAGCATGTGAGATGGTGGGATAGTAATGACAGTGTAACTGCATTGGCTAAGGGAGGAGAGGAAATACTTGATGTTAGTTATGAACACTTAGACACGCTTAGAGTTTTCCCCGTTTTAGACTTGTTTTCTTCCAACAGATCTATCACCATTCTATTTTATTAGGACTGACCTAGAACTCTCAGAGGGCAGGCTTGATTCATCCAGCTGTTAAGCACTTTAAAACCCTGTTGATCAATGGATGAGCGTTCGGCATGCGCTTCAACTCGCCCAGTGAAATCAATGGAGCTTAGGAGTCTTACCTTTGGTTGCATTGAGCCAGAAATCTGCAGAGAGACAGGCCACTTTGAAGGGGAATGCTATAGGGAAAGTATTTGCTGCAGCAATTCAAAAGCGAGGGGAGCTTACTCGTGTCATCCCTTTAGGAGCTAAGGCTGAAAAAATAGTGGCTTGCCGTGGCTTTCCAGTGGGACCATTGCACTAGGAGCTAAACCAAGAGGGCTTTAACCTCTTGCTTCTGCCATGGCCCCCAAACTGGAACAGGAGGGATTCAAGCCCGATACTGTCCTTGCAAAGAAGGTTCCTATTTGTTTGGTTCCTGTAGCTAATGGAAAGATCGGGCCAAGGAGAAGGAGGCAGCAGCAGTAGAAAAAGGATGTGATGTGTCATTTTGGACTCACAGCTGTCCATGGAGGCACAGGTCAATTCTGTGTCTAGGGCAGCTGTTTACCAGCTCCACCTGGTACGCAGCCTGAGACCCTACCTGTCCGTGGACTGTCTCGCCAGAGTGGTGCATGCTCTAGTTATCTCCCGATTGGACTACTGCAATGCGCTCTACGTGGGGCTACCTTTGAAGGTGACCCGGAAACAACAACTAATTCAGAATGCGGTAGCTAGACTGGTGACTAGGAGTGGCCACTGAGACCATATAACATCGGTCCTGAACCAGTACATTTCCAAGCACAATTCAAAGTGTTGGTGCTGGCCTTTAAAGCCCTAAGCAGTATACCTGAAAGAGTGTCTCCACCCCCATCGTTCAGCCTGGACACTGAGGTCCAGCTCCAAGGGCTTTCTGGTGGTTCCCTCACACTGAGAAGTGAGGTTACAGGGAAACAGGCAGAGGGCCTTCTTGGTGGTGGCGCCTGCCCTGTGGAACCGCCCTCCCATCAGATGTCAAGGAAATAAACAACTATCTGACTTTTAGAAGACATCTGAAGGCAACTCTGTATCAGGAAATTTTTTGTCTAACGTTCTACAATTTTTATGTTGTAAGCCGCCCACAGTGGCTGGGGAAACCCAGCCTGATGGGTGGGGTATAAATATATTCATTATTATTATTATTCCATTTCTGCTTTATAAGCCTTTAGCAAACTAGATGCATACAGGTCACTGGTGTTTTAAAACTTTTGCATAACGGCTAGAAACAAGCTGATCTCAGAGCAGAAACCATGCTACCAGTGCTGCCAAACTATTTACAAGCCATCTGGTTTCAACATAGCAAGCGACGTTTGCAACATCCGCGACAGCGTGTCAGATCCATGAGATTAATTATTACTTTGCTGTTTCCCACTTACCTATTAAGAAGTCAAATATTGCCATGTCGATGATATTGAGTAGCCGACTGCCACTGCTGTAAGGATAAATCTCCTTCACTGTGTTGCAGTAGAGTGGATTCACTTCCCATCTGCGAGAAACGCCAAAGTAAGGGGTTGAATGCTAGCACAACTATTCTGGGAGTTCCTCCCTATTTTCTGAAATAGTCGGGAACCGGTCCTGCATTTATTACACTGGCTCTTTAGTTAGGATATACAACACCAGGTTTCCCCAATCTGGTGTCCTCCAGATGTTGCAGTGTAACAATTTCTGGAGGGTACCAAGTTGGGGCTGATGGGAGTTGTGGCCAAACACCATCCATTGGGGAAACCTGGTCTGTGCTGCTTTTGATCAGATTGCTACTTTTCTAGAAGAGTTGTCAATCTCTTCCGTGTGGGAATGAGTTGGCCAGTGATACTTCTGGTGGCATCAGATCTCGGCCTGTTTTGTTCTGGCAGTGGTAGGTAAAAGGAACAACATACCCATGCTTTCCTGAAATGATATCCACAAACCAAAGTTAGGGATATGGGTGGGGCCCAAGTGCTCTATCGATGGACAAAAGCTTATGCTTCTTGCACCAAAGAACAGTGGTGATTCTCAACCAGGCACTTGTTCAGAGATAGAACAGGTCTTCTGTGCTTCTTCTCTAAACATTCAGTAAAGTCATTCTCAGGCACGTTCTTGAGTGAAAGGTAAAGGTAAAGGGACCGCTGACCGTTAGGTCCAGACGCAAACGACTCTGGGGTTGTGGCGCTCATCTCGCTTTATTGGCCGAGGGAGCCAGTGTACAGCTTCCGGGTCATGTGGCCAGCATGACTAAGCTGCTTCTGGCAAACCAGAGCAGTGCACGGAAATGGCGTTTACCTTCCTGCCGGAGCTGTACCTATTTATCTACTTGTACTTGACATGCTTTCGAACTGCTAGGTGGGCAGGAGCTGGGACTGAACAACGGGAGCTCACCCCATCGTGGGGATTCGAACCACCGACCTTCTGATCGGCTCAGTGGTTTTGACCACAGCGCCACCCGCGTCTTGAGTGAAACAGCAATACAATAGTTTGGTAAAGCAAGCTGAACATGCTTAGGACGACGCCCTTAGTTTAACCTTCATAAAACAGAAATACTTCCGACGTCTGAAGGACTGCTAAGCCCAACAAATACTGCAAAATATGCAGTCAGTTTCAAGTGCTATATAAATAAGAATACGAGTTGAGGGCAGGCCAAGAGAGAGATTCATTTACCCACTTACTCCTCTTTTCCAGTAAAGGTGTAGGATCGTATCCACGGGTTTGGGATGGAGATTCTTGGTGCCAGGTTGAGGGATGGTAGGAAAACAGAGAGGGATCCTTCCAGCAGGTGAGGATTCCCACACACGGCATATTCTGTCTTGCACATATAAGGGCATTTGGCAAAGAAACAGACATTGCTGGCTGCAGAGAGAGCAGAATCTATGAGTGAGAGGGCTAATGCAGCACTACACAGTTTTAAGAATCTGGGGAACCTTGGTGAAAACATGAGATCAGTTATTTTCTCATATTAAAGCGATATGTCATTAAGATCACAGGGGAAATAACATCTTAAGTTACATACGAGGCATCATTTTGAACCCACCTTTATTTATACACTTCATAAATCACAACGGTTTGTGGAGTGGCTTGTGATTTTTTGAACATTTGGGATAGGCAGTAGCAGCATGGTCCCCTATCACTGACAAGGCTAGATGCCAGGAAGCAGAGCAAAACAGAGCAAACATTTCTCTTCAAATCGTATAAATCGTTCGCCTTTTATTAAGGAAGCAGAGCAAACATCGCTAGGCCACATTGTTCCTGATGGAGGAGTGCAATGGCCACTTCAGATGTGACAAATGTCCTGGGCAAATACTAGTCTTTAAATTTTTTTTGCAATTATCACAAATGCTGATCTTGTTTGTGCTGTTTTTGCTGCATGCATGCTCTCTGGAAAGCTGTGGCCAGCTCATACATTTTTTCCAGACAAACAAATACGCCAGAGCTTCCTAGCACAGGGTATCCACAGCATGAGATGCAAGGGCAATCACTATGTCACACATGCTGTGCGGTTTGCACCATGCGTGTTTTTTCCTACGTAGAAGAGATATCTGTGTCATGTTTGAAGCAGCTCTTAAAACCACAGCTTCTGGAAAGCTGTTGTTTTCCTCTTCTGCAGATAGCGCAGGTGAAACTTACCTGGTGAAACAAAAAAGACACTTTGCAGGATTTCATTTTTGGTGACCTCTAAGATTTCCTTTGTAACGTTAATCATTCTCCCAACCACCGGAGGGACGCGGCGGAAATCCAGGATTCTGCAGTGGGGAGAAGGGAGGCATCAGCTAGGAAAGTACAGTCGTACCTTGGAAGTCAAATGGAATCGGTTCCAGAAGTCCAAAACATTTAGAAACCAAAGCACGACTTCCGATTGGCCGCAAGAAGCTCCTGCAGCCAATCGGAAGCTGTGGAAGCCCCGTTGGATGTTCGGCTTCCAAAAATAGTTTGCAAACTGCAACAGTCACTTCCAGGCTTGCAGCGTTTGGGAGCCAAAATGTTCAAGAACTAAGCTGTTCGAAAACCAAGGTACGACTGTATTTCTTAGAGTAAACAGAAGTAGCAGACCCTTCCCATTAATCCATAGCAGGGGGAGTTGTTCATCCCATTGTAAAACTGAGCACACTTCCCCAGACCAGATCTGGCCAGCTGATCCAATATATTTAGTACGCTCTTGAGTAGGAATCCAGCCAAATGGGTCTGCCTGCTACGATGGCATTATCTGTAGTTTACTGTGTGTGAAGAAGAATGTGCCAATTCTGTTTCCTGCAGAGCATTCTTTTAAAGTTCCCTGCATTCCTCAACGTGGTTTATATATTACATTACTTTTATTGCATTTAGTGAAGCACTGGCTATTCTCCCAACTAGATTATTTTGAATAATGACAGCCAGCTGAGAATTGTGAAGCTAGATTTTACATTGTGGGCTTACATTGCATTGTCCATTAAGTCCAGGCAAGATTAAATTGTGCGCTAAGTGCCCCACATAACAGAACCTCAGCAAAGCTGGAATGTGATCTGGTTTAATGACTGAAGGGATTGACCGAGGAAAAGCCTGCGCCCGCTTTGCGCCCAACACCCGGTTTCTAAAATTTTCCTGCCAATAAAGAAAAGGAGAACTATTTCCTTTTTACAAGATAAGGGAACAATTTTAAGCCTCAGGACAATTTAGAATAATCATAGTAAATAAATGACAGATGGTGCAAGGCCAAAACACTCATTTCACTGCCAAGATTTCAGGGTGAAAAAGAAAAAGGAAGCTTCGCCCTCCTTTGTAGGGAGGCACTCAGCTGACTGATAAAAATGTATGATTCATAGGTTCACTTCTTCTTAAATCGGACCTCAACTTTCATCCCTTTCGTATGATGAATTTCTGCAACAGAAGTTGGGGGCAGAAATGTGACTTGAGGTGAAATATCCCCAAATAAGCTGTTTCCTTTGCAGCTCATGGTTTTTATTTGTAGTTTGATGGCAGAGAGCATGCCTTGCGGGCAGAAGATCTCCCACTTTAATTCCAGGGCAGGGATTGGAAGTGTTATGTACTGAAGTTCTCACCCTGGGCCAGCAGGGGGATACTATAGATAGTTATGCAAATCAGGGATCGAAAGTGACGTTCAGTGATTGGATAGTTACAGAAAATGGTTACTGTTGCGTTCTAGTGGAGCTCTATATAAGCAGGCTGGCTGAAGCCTTCAGTTCAGTTCTGTCCTGGCCTGTGAATAAACAAGAGCTGTTTGAAGAATCGCTGTGTCGTCTGATATGTTCACCCACAACCTAACAGGAAGGAGACCCTTTTGAAACCTTGGAAAGCTGCTGTCCTTCAGTGTAGAGCCTGTAGACAAGGCTGATTTGGATGGATCAGTCGTCTGGCTTGGCATAAAAACACTTCCTGCGTTCCAAGTATCCAGAGAATAGGTGCAACATGACTGGGACAACCAGTGGCTCAGGAGGGGGAAGACCCCTCTGCCTTTAATAGTTGCGTAAATGAGGGGTGGTTTCCCCCCTCCTGCTGAAATTCTACATACCTATTGAAAGAAGAACAGTCATGTCTTCCTTTGCGTCAGATTACTTTAAAATAATAATAATGGGTGTGTGTGTGTGTGTTCCCAAATACTTAGTAAAACAAAGCTTTGATAACGAAGCTCCAAGACCAAACAACTGCAAAGCATCGTCCTGTGCTGTTAAGTGGAGGAAAATATTCACTGCTGTTGTTAATATTTAAGTCACCAGGGAGCCCTGATCATCACAGGTCTTAAGGGAAAGTCCATCGGTCAGTGGTAGATTATCTGCTCTGAATGCAGAAAGCCCCGGGTTCAAACTACAGCATCGTCAGGTAGGGCTGAGGAAAAATAGCCCTTCCTGAAACATTGAAGAGCCTCTGTCAGTCAGTGTAGACTATCCTGAGCTAGAGGAACCAATGGGCTGACTTAGTCCAGGGGCAGTGCTTCCCCAAGTTGGGTCTTTAGCTGTTTTCGCACTACAATTCCCATCATCTTTGATGGGATGCTAGCTAGGGATGATGGGAGTTGTAGTCCAAAAACAGCTGGAGTCCCAAGTTTGGGAAACACTGGTATAAGGCAACTTCCTATGCCTCCAAATTGCACATTATATTTTGAGAGCCACTGTGTGTGTGTGTGTGTGTGTGTGTGTGTGTGTGTGTAGCCAGTCAACTTAAGCAGCTCCATGAAGATTTTCTTCATTCTTCAGTCCCCATTAGTGGCCCATCATCCAAAAACATGTCCTCTCTCTGTGTCTTGGCACATCTCCCGCATGCGCATGCTCAACCGTGTATTGTCTACAAATATGCAGACCAGCTGCAGCCTCACTTGTTGTGGCGCCATTTCGCTATTGTTGCTCTCGGTGCAGAGGCAATTCAGAAAGGCTCTTGAATGACGCTCTGTATGTGCCGTACATGCGAGAGTTTTGCACAACCTGCAAACTCTCGGAAGACCCTTCCAAGTGGGACATATATTTCTACTGCCGAGGCTGATTCAAACCATCGAAAATTGCAAATGGTGCTGTGTGGGCTCGGCGGTGTTTTCTCAGCAGAGCAAAACATTATTGGCTGGTGAGTCAGTAACCACCAGGCAGACTGACTAATACTGGCACAGAAGCCACTTAAAAATGCCCCCAAGTCGGCTGGAACTCGCTTTTTAGCCTGTTGCTTGCTCAACACAAAAACAAAACAAAAGCTTGGCTTGGGTCTGACTGAGGACTTGGTGAGACACTCCAAGCCAAATGCAGCCATATTTTTGCAGCCCGCCAGAGGCTTGACAGGCAACTAAAGCGGGAGATGGATTGAGCCCATAATAGGCTGCCACATACATACATAAGCTGGTGTTTAACGTGTGGTGCAAAAACATGTTGTGCAAGACTGATCTAGCTTTTGGGATGGCCCGGTTACATTTCCTATTAGGAAATGGAAAAGATTCACACTTCAGGAGTGTAAAACCAGGGATATACGTAATGTCCTGTGGAGCTGGAACGGTTTGGAGTAGGGAGCGATATTGGAAAATAAGGAACATATTGTGACAAGTGCTGGAAAATTCAGACAATTTGCTTCATGCTCCTCATCTGTGCTGGTGGCAGCTCCTCTGGCCTGTGCGTGTTTTCAGAACATAAGATCAGACCAAATACCTATCTAGTCCAGCATTCTGTTCTCCTAGATGGGATCCAACTAACTTGTCCCACCAGCTCAAGGATTCTGGCTTGAGCAACACTTTGAGCAACACTTATCTATACAAACTGGCAGCTCTCCAGAGTTTCAGACAGGTGTGTTTGGTGTGTGTGTGTGTGTGTGTGTGTGTTTCTCAGCCCTACCTGCTTATGGTGGCGATTAAACCTGGCACCTTCAGAATGCAATGCAGATGTTCCACCACTGACCTGCCATAACCTTTCCTGATGATCCCAGACGCCAATATTCATGCCTGTGGCCACTGAAATGGTTTGCTCCCAAAACAAGAATGCATATACCAGGAAAGACATACTATGGGCAGCTTGAAACAGACGTCATATACAGTGGTACCTCGGGTTAAGAACTTAATTCGTTCTGGAGGTCTGTTCTTAACCTGAAACTGTTCTTAACCTGAAGCACCACTTTAGCTAATGGGGCCTCCTGCTGCCACTGCACAATTTCTGTTCTTATCCTGAATCAAAGTTCTTAACCCGAGGTAATATTTCTGGGTTAGCGGAGTCTGTAAGCTGAAGTGTATGTAACCCGAGGTACCACTGTATTGTTGAAATCTGAATGCAGATCCCTAAATCCCCTCTCCTAAGGAATCTCTTCCTATGACAACACTACCATTCCTTGGGCTTTTGAGCACTGCAGCTCTTGTTTTCTTCTCCCTGAAATAAGGTTAGGCCCCAAATATATGTCCAAAGAAGGGGTGAGCAAGAGCATCAAATTACCTGTCGAGGTGGAAGGCAGCTATTTCTGCATTGTGCCTTTGAAAGTCAACAAAATAGAAAAAGTCTTCTGGAGTCTCCTCATCTCGTTTCTGTCTGAAAGGAAGATAGGGGTCACTAAGAGAAAGGAGATTCCTTCTGCATAACCGTTGACATCCTCCTGAGTGCAAGGAAAGTATTTATGGTACAACTAGAGAAGCAGGACAAATGACTGTCGGAACAGACGACTGTGAAATCATCTCTGTGTTACCGTGTCTCTGTGCTTAGAGTTCTAAAATACAGAAAAATGGTACCTATTACCCCCTTTTTTAAAGGTGAGGCAAGTCTGCACAAGAGGGCTGCAAAATAATAAGGCCTCCTTCAACCTTAGCTTAACTTTAATTGTGTTCAATTCATGTTGGTGGGCTGTTGGTTTTTTTTTTTTTTTAATCTTCTAACTAGTAATCTCTGCTGACTGATTCACCAGGAGCACCTCTATGACAGAATTGACAATTTAAACATATATATATATATTATCAGAATATTATTTGCCAAGCAAGTGCTTACAAAACCTGTGGGTGGGTAGCAGGTGCCATCTTAGAAGAGTCATTTTATACTCTCTCACACGAAGGGAATGCCTCTTCTAAGATGGCTCCTGCTGTGACATAGAGCTGCATCATCTAAAAACGAGAAGCATTTTTTTCAATCTCTAGAGGGGGAAATCCAACTGATTTATTTTTTTAAAAAAAATAAAATAAAAATCTCATACAAATAATCAGTTAAGATTTAGTTGCTCAGGTGGCAGCTCTCATTTTTATTTCAATTAAGTAAGCATACCTCATTCTCACACTTCCTGTGTGCTTTTCCTCCCTCTTTCTCTTTCTCTCTTTGTTGAGTAAGGCCTTCCAGATGTTATTGGACTCCCATCAGCCTCCCCCCAAGGATGGCCAATGGCCAGTGAGGAAGGGAGCTGTGGTCCAGGAACATCTTCCTCACCCTTGTAGAAGAACTGATTTCAGTTACCATCTTGTGCCAGAGTGGAAAGGGAAAGCTAATGTCCTGTTCACTCAGACCAAGAATGGTCCAATTCACTTCTTTCTTTCTTTTTGCATTTAATTCCCTGCCCACAACCTTATTCCTTAACTTTGCGCCTTATTAAGTATGGTTGACACCTACTGGTGAAGGTCCCCTGACAGAAGAGAATCTGTTAGCAGAACGAGGAGGGAGGCAGGCAATTTTTAGCAGCACTCCCCCTTGCAGCACTTTGTACTGCCCCCCATCTGTTCTAGATTGAAGCAGATTTAAAGGGAGTGTAGGGTACGCTGGGGGAAGTGGGGAAAATCAGTGAAAGTGGCAGTGTGGTGTAGTGGTTAAGAGCAGTGGACTTGTAATCTGGTGAACCGGGTTCGATTCCCTGCTCTTCCACATGCAGCTGCTGAGTGACCTTGGGCTAGTCACACTTCTTTGAAGCCTCACTCACCTCACAGTGTTTGTTGTGGGGGAGGAAGGGAAAAGGAGATTGTGAGCCGCTTTGAGACTCCTCAGGGTAGTGATAAAGCAGGATATCAAATCCAAACTCTTCTTCAAACTTTTCTCCCGTCCCACTAAGTGGTTCCCTTCTGTAAACAGTCACCACTGAATACCACCCAGGATTTACCATTGCACTTTCCCCTCTGTTCATGGTGGTGTCATCATGATGAAAATGCACACCATACCAAACAAGATAAAGAACAGCAACGGCTAGGCAAATGTTTTCAGGTGAACTGAGCTTACCTCATGGGTTTGAACATGGCTTTGCCAAAGTCCTGGAACCGCAGAACAAGTTTCAGGTGCACACCACTGGGCTTGACAACTGGAAAGTGAAACCGAGACGCTCAGCTCATTGTTCAAACGGACTTTTGTGAAAACGGAAACTCTTTAGTGTTAACCTGTCAAGTTATTCAGGTGGGATTCAACTAAGTTGTTGCCTGGAATGAGCTCCACTCATGCAAAGGGGCTTTCCTCCCCTCACTCCTCGCCCCACACCCCCTAAATCTGCCCTAGAACATGCTTAGGGGATATGCGGAGGTAGGGTGTACTGAATTCTTCAACTTTCAAATTCCGAAAAATCGGAGTTGTTCAAAAGTTGTAATGTGACTTGGGAATTCAAATTATATTTTGGTTAAATTAATATAATTTAGCTTTGCTTGGTAAGCAAAATGTGCGTAAAATTGCATAGAAATCCTTAAAAAAATGATTGCCAAATACTTTTAGTGTTTGTTAGACACACACACTTAACAACAACAACAAACAACAACAACAACAACATTATGATTATGATCTTTTAGCATTACCTGACATTTTAAGAAGGTAAAATTAAAATCCTTTGGTTTTCCAAATGCAGTTTATATGTTTCTTCATCAAATGTAGACTTATGAAGCTAAAAGCAGATTTGAATTCCTCAAATGAATTCCCTAAAATGACACCCCTAATGTGGGGGGCACAGAGAGGAGGGGGAAAGTCCCTTTGCACGAGCAGACCTTGTTCTGCAGTGCCTAACCCACGTAGTGCTGTGTTGAATTCAGGAGAACAGCACTCTGTATAACAGGGGGACTTGCTACATAGCCAAGACTGAGGTTCCAACTAGTTCCTAGTTAACTGGGGGGGGGGACTACCCCCCAAGGTTGGGAAATGACTTTCTTTTTACAGGCTATGCCTGCTTCTTAAAGAGACAAGCCACACACACTGCAGGTATGGGTGGGGGTGAGAGGGACTGAAACCAGCGGCTCATTTTGCTCTGTGTTTCTGTTCCAACCTGCTATTAGCATCCACACTTCGCCTACTGCTCCACTAGGAAATGAGGGATGCCTTGCCAGAGCAGGCTGCTGTTCTATGAATATGAAAATTTCAATTTAGGGGTATAACTTTGATTGAAGTGTTCTGGGTCAAAGGCTCTCCATCCAATTTAAGTGGCTCGTTTCCATGTATGCCGAGCTGATTAAAAGAATTCTGGATTACTGACCCAGCTCGGTTTTTGTAATATTCACAACGTAATTAAGATATATTTGCATATAGAGGCGGTTGCCTACAGAGCGTAAGAAAATCCAAAACAAAACCTATAATATCTATGGAATAAGGGAAGAAAGGAAGCAGCAGCAGCAGCAGCAGCAGATAAAAGTTAAGTTTAGGGTGGCACAAAACACAAACCTAATAATCAGTGTAATGGCTTTGTTAATGGCCATGTTAATAGAGAACGCTGTTATTAAAATCCCTCCAATTTTCCTCACCTCCTCCTCATTGGAAATTTTTAAAACAAAGTTGGATCAACATCTTTCAGGGATTCTTTAGATGAAATTCCTGCGTTGTAGGGGGTTGGGCTAAATGACCCTTTGGGGTCCCAACTCTAAGATTCTATGGTTTTATTATTTCTGCGACTCATAGAAACTGATGCACTTGACTTACTTTGTGTGCAGTCACAGGCACCCAGCAATGCTTTCTCGTCCTGGCTGTAATCTGGAATGGAAAAGAAAAGCCATGAGCTTCAGGCTCACCCAACAGGAATGCTTTTTTAGGAGATGCGGTGTGTGATAGAACTCATGTAATTGTCCTAGCAGGGGGTATTAAGGTCTTCTGACACTCTGCATGATGACGATTTTTTGGGGGGGGGCAGGCGTATTTTGGGTGTCCTTTAGTCATGACAAGAGCACTATAGGAAATTTTGGCAGGGAGAGGGTAAAATCCACAGCCGGGTTTAGAGGCCCACTCTTAGATGCATTCAAGGTTTATTTATTTATTTATTAATTGATTTTAATTCATTTTGCAACATTAAAACAAACGAAAGAAACATACATAACACATACACACAAAAAAGAAATACATAAAAAAGAGAAATAATAATAAAGAAAACAAAAGAAAAAACATCTAACATAAGATACCAACAAATTAGGTTACATTTACTAAATAACACACAACATTAATTGACTTCCCTTCATCTCGGTTTCAGAATATATTATATGATTTTTTATCTGCAGTTTCTTTTCCTTAAAAAACTCTTTACATCACAAGTGTTATGTCACACCTACTGTGATTTTTAGATTTTTTACCTCTGTTTCCATGTATGTCATAAATTTATTCCATTCTTTGTTAAACTTTATGTCTTTTAGATTTCTTATTTTCTGTGTCATTTTTGCCAATTCTAAATAATCAAATAGTTTGGATTGCCAGATGCATTCAAGGTTTAATTGCTAAAAGTGTTTTAAATTTGTTGTTAGCTGCCCTGAGCCCGGTTTTTGAACCGGGAAGGGAGGGGTATAAATAAATTATTATTATTATTATTATTATTATTATTATTATTATTAAACACTATGTCATGTGGCGGAAACTGCTTTTGTAATCAAGAGGGCTTTCGAAAGCAGGTCTTCATATGTGTTCTTTTCTAATGACCTTTTCCGCTATTTTATAGCAAAATTATATTATTAGCTACCAAAAAATGGAGACAGAAACAACAATAATAATGGGAGGAAACCAGTAATCAAAGCGCTTCCCTTTCATGGCGACAGTAATGGACATTGTGATAATTAAAGGAAGCTTTTCCAAGGGCAATTAACAAACTACCCCTTTGTTGTCTCTCTATACTTGTGCTCATTGGAAAGCAATAAAATGGACTGAATGTGCAAACGGGAAGTGTTTAATTAAAGACAAAGGGAGCCCCTTAAAGCCCAGTATTTCCCTATCCACATTAGTGGCTAGCTGGCTGCAATGGCATTTCATTAAGAAGAAGAAGAAAAACCCGGCCACTAATCAGGCATGGGGACACGGGTGGCGCTGTGGGTAAAAGCCTCAGCGCCTAGGGCTTGCCGATCGAAAGGTCGGCGGTTCGAATCCCCGCGGCGGGGTGCGCTCCCGTTGTTCGGTCCCAGCGCCTGCCAACCTAGCAGTTTGAAAGCACTCCCAGGTGCAAGTAGATAAATAGGGACCGCTTACCAGCGGGAAGGTAAACGGCGTTTCCGTGTGCGGCTCTGGCTCGCCAGAGCAGCGATGTCACGCTGGCCACGTGACCCGGAAGTGTCTCCGGACAGCGCTGGCCCCCGGCCTCTTGAGTGAGATGGGCGCACAACCCTAGAGTCTGTCAAGACTGGCCCGTACGGGCAGGGGTACCTTTACCTTTAATCAGGCATTAATTCCCCCAACCTTGCTCTGCGCTTGCAGTTCATGATCTGGTGGAGGTGGCAGTTCAGAAAGGAAGCTTTACCAGCGCTGATGGTTCCAAAGTTTTGCGTGTCCCGGAGGAGCTGGTCAATCGGAGGGCTGGACCGTGGGTACAAGGCATAGCGATTGATTCCCAGGTGGAACTGGAGCCAGCTTGCCTCCTGCCTGAGCTGCGTTATTGAGTCCGAGGTGAGGTTGCGCTCCTCTCTGTAAATCTTGTGTCTCCTGATGCACACATGGAAAAGAAGGTGCACACAAAATCAACCCCTCAGATAAATCACTTTCCCACATTCAGGGTTGTATACAATGAAGCCCATAGCCTCCAACATTTCTCTGATGAAAGTAAGGACGTCCTATTCAATTACAGTGGTACCTCAGTTTTTGAACGGAATCCGTTCTGGAAGACCATTCAAGTTCCGAAATGTTTGAAAACCGAAAATTCAATACGGAAGCCGTGTGGTATGTTTGACTTCTGAGGCAAGTTTGAAAACCGAAGCATTTACTTCCGGGTTTATGCCTTTTGAAAACCAAAATGTTAGAAAATGGAGACGTTCAAAAACCAAGGTATTATTATTATTATTATTATTATTATTATTATTATTATTACCCCACCCATCTGACTGGGTTGCCCAAGCCACTCTGGGAGGCTTCCAACATATATGAAAACATAATAAAACATTCCCTATACAGGCCTGCCTTCAGATTTCTTCTAAAGGTTGTATAGTTACTTATCTCCTTGGCTTGGGGGTTGCATAACTCCATACCCTCCAGCATTTCCCCAGTAAGGAAAAGTGGGACATTCTGGGATCAAATCAGAAACCGGGATGGCTTCTGTAAATCTGGGACTGTCCCTGGAATATAGGGACACTTGGAGGGTCTGGAAGCCATTGCAGGAGTAGAACAACTTCCACCCATGTGATGGTACATTCCTCTCCCCCGCTGCACCCTCAAGTCTTATCTGGGGTTTTCCACACAGCTCTGGAGCAGATTTGGGGCAGAGGAGGCAGGCAGGTAGAGGAGAGGGAGGGGAGGTTCTGTTCCACTTGCTTAATCACTGAGTGATTCAAACCTCCATCGGTACAGCGGCCATCATTTGGAAAGCAAGGTGTTGACAAAACTGTTCAAATGAAGGCTGTTGGTGGGGGAGCAGGATTGTGCTGGGTGGTGGGATCTCAGCCTATGTCTTGGGTCTGTAGCAAGCTGGAACAGTTAAAAAACTGCACTGGTCATAGACTGGGCTGCTGCTGCTATTCAGAAGAACCCTCATTGGCTGCCTGGCCCAAGATGGGGATGCAATTTTAATTGTGATTGATAATTGCTGGCACCATTAACAGCTCCCAGAAGCTTGCACCACCATGGCGAAGGAGATCAAGATCAACAGAGCGAAACTGTACTAATCTCCAAAATATCCCACATTCACTGTCCCTGCCTGCCTCTCTCTTTGGCCCTTGTAGAAAAATGAACATTCTATATGCTTGCTAGCATTTTTCTTTTGCCAGACCATAAAACCAACAGGATGAGGAAATCCGACATTTGCTGGATATACAAATGCTGGGCGAAATTACATGAGGAAAAGCCGGAAACTACTTTGTGTGGCAAAGCAGACGCTCTCCAGTCTCTCAAGATCAGAGGCTGAGTCTTCACCCTCTTCATAAGTTATGCTGCAAGGAGACATTGTGGTTTCAAAGACCACTGAGAAATCATGGGCCACTGGGGTTTTTCCAAACCATAATGACTTGTCAACCTCTTACAGATATATATATCTAGTAACTTCGTACTCATGTCCATCTGTGTTAGTACACACACCATTTTTAAAAAAATTAAGAACACTGTGTTAATTGTGTTCTCTTCAGATGTGGTGTGAGCAATGCCTGCTTCAATAATAAATTATAGAATAGCGTAAAACTATTGTTATGTCTCCATTCGGACGCAGGTGGCGCTGTGGGTTAAACCACAGAGCCTAGGGCTTGCCGAACAGAAGGTCGGCGGTTCGAATCCCCACGACGGGGTGAGCTCCCGTTGCTTGGTCCCTTGCTCCTGCCAACCTAGCAGTTCGAAAGCACACCAATGCATGTAGATAAATAGGTACTGCTCTGGCGGGAAGGTAAACGGCGTTTCCATGCGCTGCTCTGGTTCGCCAGAAGCGGCTTAGTCATGCTGGCCACATGACCCGGAAGCTGTATGCCGGCTCCCTCTGCCAGTAAAGCAAGATGAGCACCGCAACCCCAGAGTCGTCCAAGGCTGAACCTAATGGCCAGGGGTCCCTTTACCTTTACCTATGTCTCCATTATTTCAGAGCTACAGGTTATTGAGGTGTTAGAGGCACTCTCTCTACAATGAAAACAAGCAGAGAGAGGGCCCGTGCTTTAGTGCAGAGATAGGGAACCTGGGGCACTCAAATGGGATGCACAACTCCCATCTGTTCTGGCCGTTGCAGTCCAGCAACATCTAGAGAGCCTCAGGTTCTCCACCCTAGTTAATTCATCCCTACTTATATGATTATCAGTGACTCTGATTAGTGGTTCCCACTCTTTCTATTGGTAGGGATGCTGAATTTGTTTATTTAACAAAAAATAAAATTCAGTTTTCTACATTTCAATAATTTTACACTCATTTTAACATTTCCAAACTTGACTTCCTTCCCCCTCTTTCTGCAGTTCCTTAAATTTATTTTTAATATTTTCTGCATATCCAGATTAACTTAATTTGCTCATTTATTCATCTACTTTAAATATATGCTCTTATAAAACCACAGGTCATTACAATAATCCTGCCAATGTTCTTATCTTTTTTTACAGTTTGTTTGTAAATATTCCATAAACCATTTCCATTCTTTTATTTTTTTAAAAATTGTTATCTTGATTTAATATTTTCCCAGTAAGTTTTGCCATTTCTGCATATTCCATAAGTTTTTGTATGCATTCTTCTTTTGCTGGGACTTCTTCTTTCCATTTTTGGGCAAGTAACATTCTCGCTGCTGTAGTCGCATACATGAATAAATTTCTATATGGTTTGGGCGGTTCTGTCCCTGTAATTCCCACTAAGAAGCGAGAGAAAGACACTTTGCACACGGTCAAAAGGACTCGGGTATATTATTATTTTGAAATTTTCAGGATTCATTCCAAGAATGGGGAGTAGATTCTGGGCCAAGCTCTGTTGTGCTCTAGCTCAAATTAAGTCCCGCAGTACTGACAACGGGGAAGAGACATGTGTCACCTTTCTCTCACTCTTCATTAAAAAGGTAAAGGTACCCCTGCCCGTACGGGCCAGTCTTGCCAGACTCTAGGGTTGTGCGCCCATCTCACTCTAGAGGCCGGGGGCCAGCGCTGTCCGGAGACACTTCCAGGTCACGTGGCCAGCGTGACATCGCTGCTCTGGCGAGCCAGAGCCGCACACGGAAACAACGTTTACCTTCCCGCTTGTAAGCAGTCCCTATTTATCTACTTGCACCCGGGGGTGGTTTCGAACTGCTAGGTTGGCAGGCGCTGGGACCGAACGACGGAAGCGCACCCCGCCGCAGGGATTCGAACCGCTGACCTTTCGATCGGCAAGCCCTAGGCGCTGAGGCTTTTACCCACAGCGCCACCTGCATCCCTCACTCTTCATTATTGGAGATCTAAGTCCTTTCCCCAGCAATAGCTATTGATACATTGCTGTCTGTTGTTCTAAGCAACTCATGCCTTCCACGGCACATTGTTAGCAATCCAACAGAGATGCACGGTTTATTTTTACATTGTGGATTTGGTCTGATTATTCTTTAGCTGTCAGAGCCTCGGAAGCATAATGGCCATACACTGTCAAAGCGCTAACGCAGGGCCTTGTTTGCCAAACAGGCAGTTACGGTATCGACAAACTAAAACAGCCTAAATTACATGGTCCCTTTTCGTTTGCTTTAACCACCAGACCAACGGTACAATTTTTCACGTCAATCTCATTTACAGTCTTCTGAGCCTTGCCAGGCAAAATTAGTAAGGCCATCCACTTGAAAACAGAAAACTAGTCTGAGTTCCAATAGGCAGCTTTCAATAAACTTACATATATCATTACCTGAAATTCTCCCAACCAAGCAAGATAACAACAACAACAACAACAATAATAATAATAATAATAATATTTATTATTTATTATTTGTACCCCGCCCATCTGGCTGGGTTTCCCCAGCCACTCTGGGCGGCTTCCAACAAAGATTAAAAATACATTAAAATGTCACACATTAAAAACTTCCCTGAACAGGGCTGCCTTCAGATGTCTTCTAAACGCCATGTAGTTATCTCTTTGACATCTGATGGGAGGGCAATCCACAGGGCGGGTGCCACTACTGAGAAGGCCCTCTGCCTGGTTCCCTGTAGCTTTGCTTCTCGCAGTGAGGGAACCGCCAGAAGGCCCTCGACACTGGACCTCAGCATCAGGGCAGAACGATGGGGGTGGATAGACTCCTTCAGGTATACTGGGCTGAGGCCGTTTAAGGCTCTAAAGGTCAACTCCAACACTTAGAATTGTGCTCGGAAATGTACTAGGAGCCAATGTAGGTCTTTCAAGACCAGTGTTATGTGGTCTTGGCGGCCGCCCCCAGTCACCGGTCTAGCTGCCGCATTCTGGATTAGTTGTATTTTCCGGGTCACCTTCAAAGGTAGCCCCACGTAGAGCACATTGCAGTAGTCCAAGCGGGAGATAACTAGAGCATGCACCACTCTGGTGAGACAGTCTGCAGGCAGGTAGGTCCTCAGCCTGCGTACCAGATGGAGCTGGTAGACAGTTGCCCTGGATATAGAATTGACCTGCGCCTCCATGGACAGCTGTGAGTCCAAAATGGCTCCCCATGCATCAGCTGATTTCAGTTCTGCTTTCTGCAGGTTCCAGGTGCATCAGCGAGTTCCCGATGGGGAACTTGCTTGGGTACCCAAACCAAGCAAGATTGAACCCCCAGCTTTTCAGAGGACGTGCAGAGAGTTCAATAATGCTTTCCAGCTGCAGGATCCAGCCATGTCTCTACTTGCCCAACACATGACATCACACACAACATCAAGTGTGGGGCTGGTGGATGCGGTTTGGAGAAAACAGCCTGGTGGGCCACATTTGGCCTGTGGGTCAGACATAGCGAAACAAAGAAAACGGAAGAATGGTACTCTGAATAAGTATAGCTCCTTTGTCTCTAGCTGGCAATGGACCTCAGTAGTGGGTAAATATGCATGCCAATACCTTTCTAGGTTTTACCAGCAAGCCAA